CACAAAACGAGCCCCATTGTAGTTCTCGCGGTACAAAAGCAAAGAGGTCATTCCAGCAAGCCATCTCCGGTACATGTCATGAACTTGCCGACTGCCGCACCTCTCCTGCAACTGACAGCAGATGCAAAGAACAGATTCAAAGTTGTAAGATGCAGATGCACAATTGGAAGGTCCTACTGGGACTTGAACCCAGGTCGGCGGAGTCAAAGTCCGCAGTGCTAACCGCTACACCATAGAACCGCGAGGTGACCCCGCACCTGACCTGCACTGCCAAGCCAGCCATCTCCTTCAGAGTCAAGGGCTGCACTTCAGACGGTCAGAAACACAACCCTCCCATCTTACGTGTTTGACTCCCGACTTCCTTGTGAGAGAAAGAAAACTTCAACGGGCAACAAACGTCCCTGAAACTGCTGTTCGATTTGGTTGAATAGCTGTAGTGCACAGGCACTACAATGGGGCTGGCTAGTGTCCTAGGGATGTTAGCTAGCCAGCGACCAACAAGGGGCCGCGACACTGGAGGAGAACAGAACCCTACCAATAGGGTTAAAATAAGAAACGCCGTCTATTAATTCTAATGAATACATGAAATGTGTGGAAATTGTGTGGAGACTGGGGCTGGCGATAGCGCCGCACCAATGAGGACCTCCCCCGCTAAGGTCTAGGAAGTAAGCTCCGAGAAGGGAGCGAATCGACGACCGAGATTCACGACACTTTTTGAATTGTCGAATTTCGACGGAATAAAGCTATAGAGACCGAAAAATGGGGCTATACTAGGTGTAGTATGTAGACCTGTAGAGGGGCAGGAAACAGCGTAGTCGCAGCAGTAGGCGCCGCGCACTGCATTTCGGGGCTGTTCCGGGAATGAAATCTTTTTTCTTTCCGGACGTGGGAGTAGAAATACTATGTTTTAATGCCTCGCACCTAGAGATCTTTGCTCGGTAAGTGATGCACCTCCGGAACGGACGCGTCATCGGTCCCACACCGCAGGAGACTCCTACAATGTCGGTCAACAAAATGCCGAGCGGGACACCAGACCATCATCGCCATGCGACTCCGAAGCCCACCGTGGCAGAGCGGCCGCATGGGCATAAGGAGGCATCCCCGCAGGTGATACCTTTGCCCAATGTTATGCCAGGGGACAGTCCCTTCGTCATATGGGACCAATTCCAGTCTGCAGTGAGTGTGATTAGAACTGTATTAGGGGGGACCGTGGAATCCAGCGCAACGACTCCCATACTACCTGAAGACGGCAGCACTATGCAGGCCTTTCTGCTGCGCATCAAGCGCCGGTACACCCAGATGGGATTGGAACCGCGCGAGTGGGGAAATGCACTTATAGACCACCTCGTGGGCCCGGCTCTAACGTATTGGATGTATCTACGGAGAACTATCGACCTAAGCGACTGGGTGACAGTGCAGCGCAGGCTTTTGGAGCTGTTTGACAGAACTATGTCACAGAGTCAATTGTTAACGGAGTTGGCTAAAGCACGGTGGAATGGTAACCCGAAGGAATACACGGATCGGTTTGCGGTTGTAGCGGAGCCTGGGTTGGGGTTTGCCCCCGACGAACTCGCGGACTATTACTGCGCCGGGCTACCGACAGACCTCCATCTTCTAATAACTAATAACGGGCAACTGGAATATCAGTCGTGGAAACAAGCGGCGACCGCCGCAAGACGGCTCTACGAGCCCAAGCGGAGTGTGTTGGAACTCCGAGAAAGGATCAACCGAGCCATTAGGGCGGCCGCCCAAGCTAATGGACCTCGTGGGCGAAGAAGTCAAAAATCGTTCTGGGGCAACCCACGCTAACTGCTTTGAGTGTCAGGGTCGCGGACATCCGGCACGTGCCTGCCCTAGCAAAGGGGAACGTACCAGACGTCCGGGGGAAATCTGCAAGAAGTGCGGCGGTGTCGGACACTATGCTCGGGACTGTCCTACGTATGAAGGAAGTCGGCCGGAGCAGGTGGACAAGGGCAGCAGAGCTCCCACCCGTCCTAGCACTGGGAAGATGGAACGATCAAACGTGCGGGCCTAGCG